ATGGTCAAACTGACCAACTGTCCCAGCAGCAGGCACTCAGATACTCACCAACACAGCCCCCCTAATGCAGCACTTAGCGTACCTCCTCTTGGACAGCTCCCAGGCAAACTCCCGCTGTTAGCCTCTGCTGTTCGCTGCTCAGCTGGTTCGCTGCAGGCATCACTGCTCTGTTTATAGATTGTTGTTGCTTTGTCCCAGTTCTTGTTGATCTCCTCATCTGCATTCCACTCCTCTTCATCAAGGTCTGCAAGTGCCTGAAACCTGTTCTTTAACTGAAGAACAAAGTCTTTCTGTATTTCAGGGGACTTTAGCTTGTCAACATCATAACATCTATGTCTATGTTGTTTGGTGGACTCACAAGTCTCAGTATTAGCTTGATGGGGGCTGTTACAAGGTGGTGGTCACTGCCAACATCTGCTCCCCTTGTCACTTTCACTTCTGTCAGTGAACATTGCCATTTGCCATTGATCATTCATCATATGGTCAATCTAGTTCTTATTGCTACCATTTGGAGAGCACCATGTCAGCTTGTGAATTTCACAGTACTGAAATAGGGTTCTGCCGATGACTAGGTCATTCATATTGCAGAAATGTAAAAGCCTCTCTCCATTTTCATTCATGGCGCCACACCCATGTCTTCCCATTGCTCTGTCGTTGTTTGTGTTGTCCTTACCGATCTTGGCATTCAGGTGTCCCATGACGATAGGTGTAATGTAGAATTTGTCCTTTGCTTCTTCATCACTGTCATTTGTCAAAGCATAGCACTGAATCAGGGTGATATTATTATGTTTCCCTTTCAGTCTGGCTCTCATAAGTCTGCTGCTGATGGACTTCCACTCAAGCAGGGACTGCTCCACTCCCTTCTTCAAAAGGATAACAACACCCTCATGGTGTTGTCCATCATCCCGTCCAGAATACAGCAAAGTTTCTCCCGAGGCTGTTGTTACTCTTCCTGATCCCGTCTATCTGCTCTCGCTGACACTCAGGATGTGTAAGCTGTAGCATCTCATCTTTGCTGTGACCTGAGCTAGCTTCCCCATTTCATATATTGTCCGTACATTCCAAAAACCAAGTTTATTTTTGTCTTGGTGTTGAGCATTTCAGTCTTCTTGCCACTGGCTTCCTTTCGGCTTTCGCCACTGGCAGTCATACGGGTCATTGACTCCTGAAGGCCATCACACATGGTAATGGTTGATTTCTCCGCCACTGTTTCCATAACATATTTTGTTTTTTATGGGACAGGATTGTTAGCCCTGTGCCTAACCCCTAATCTGGAGGACCAGGGTGTCTGTTTTTGTCTGGTTCCTCCTCCACAGACCAATCCGGCATAGTTGAACCTGCCAGGAGTAAAAAGCCCCCATCGGCACAGACTCTGGCGATTGTTAGAGCACACAAGCTGTCCCGCCACGACAAGGCAGACACCAGATGCCTGATATCTATACTTAAAATAATTTTTTGCTAATAAAGTGCAGTGCACTCTCATGCTACATTGGTGCTCCCTGTGGAATATCCAATGGGGTAAGTAAATAATCAATGAGGAAAAGACATCGCAGCCATTTGGCAAGTCTCAGTCTTTCTCTTTGCATAAGTCAAATTCTGTACACAGTTGTATCCTCGTAGCAGGGTGGTGGTGGTGGTGTTTTTCTGTTCTTTTGGAAGATTTACTATTCAATTTAACATTTTTAAAAGCAGGGTCAGCCTAAATGTGAGAAGCGCTGGGAGCTAGGGGGAGAAGCGGAGCCGCAGCATGCTCAGGGGAGGAGGCAGAGCGGAGGCGGAAGTGAGCTGGGGTGGAGAACTGCCAATGGGTGCAGAACACCCACCAATTTTTCCCCATGAGTGCTTCAGCCCCGGAGCACCCACGGAGTTGGCGCCTATGCAAGACACCACCAGCCTTAACTTTGTGTTAAGGAGTTTTTGGCACTGAATTTTAGTACTGACACAGACCAATGTTATAGACAAGAGAAGGGGAAAGCATAAAGTCTTAGTAATTCTAAAACATTCAGGGGAAACTTAGGCTTGGTCTACACTAAACCCCCAAATCGAACTAAGGTACGCAACTTCAGCTACGTGAATAACGTAGCTGAAGTTCGAAGTACCTTAGTTCGAACTTACCTTGGTCCACACGCGGCAGGCAGGCTCCCCCATCGACTCCGCGGTACTCCTCTCGTCTAGCTGGAGTACCGCAGTCGACGGCGAGCACTTCCTGGTTCGACTTATCGCCTCCAGACAAGACGCGATAAGTCGAACCCAGAACTTCGATTGCCAGCCGCCGAATTAGCGGCTGGGTGTAGACATACCCTTAGAGACTCTTCGTGTGACATGCTGGAGTGTGTGCAGTGGCTCTGAAGCTTGACCCATAGCACACAGCCTATGTAGGCACTGAGTGGTACAGAGGGCTTTGCATTAGGCCTGCACAGCATAGGTGAATTTCAGCCGTCATGTGTATAATCCTTTACAAGTAGGATTTCCAAAGATGCCTAAGTGATGTTGGGGGTCATTGGGACTTCTGCCCCTTAGTCACTTCAGTAATTTTGGAAATCCCATCCTGAGTGTATATCCCTGGAAAGATAAACTCCTCAACTAATCATTGATCCATTTTTGTTTCTTTTTTAGAGAAACAAGCAGTGGAACTTCATAAGTGTCATTCTCCCTCTACCTATATGTAAAACCTTTTGTACAAATGTGTATCCTTGAATGTATATCCCTGGAAAAAGAAGCTCCTCTATTAATAATTGGTCCATTTTTATTTTATTTTTAGAGAAACAAGCAGTGGAACTTCGTAAGTGTCATTCTCCCTTTACCTACATGTAAAACCTTTTGTACAAAGGTGTATCCTTATAAAGGTGCTTTGTTCATGTAGGGGGTTTGTTTTGCTTTGTCATGTTTATAATATAACTTTAAAAAATAATAGAGGTCTTGGGCTAAGTATGAGAATTCTAACACCAAAAGGTAATTTGAAATAATATTCTGAGGAATAAAAAAATACAGTGACTTTGAATGGAAATGATGGCTCAGCCTTAACTTTAATTCTGAAAATGTAATGAAATAAAATGGAGTAACAGAATTAATATAATCTTTTGGTAAAGATATGAAGATTTGTGAATGATATAGTTATATGATTATTAATAAAAAAATAGAAAATGCTCAATTGTTAACATAAGAAACCTTCTTTCCCCATATTCTTGTACATTTTTTAGAATAACCACCCTTCCCACTGAAGTCAATAGAAGATATGTCATTGATTTCAATAGTAGGAGCAGGCCTTAAATATAGGGTTTTTTTTACATGTTTGATGTTTGCAGTATAAATGTAGTCTGTTTGCTGGTAAAGTCTGATTATAACTTTGCAGGAATAATTCTCCAGGCAATGGCAATTTTTATAATATGAAGCAATCAGACAGTAATGCTCATGTTGTGTAGTTGTGATTTTTTTCTCTTTTATTGTACATTTATAGTAGAATTTGTAACTCCCGATTTCCTGTGTGTGTCAATTTGTATAATGTTGAATCCTGTACATAGATCATGTGTTCAAATCACTTCTCATCTTTGCTTATCTGGTTGATTTTAGGGTGGAGAAGATTTGTGGTACCTATAGAAGAAGATAATTAAAGTTCATATTTTGTCAATGTTCAGATCTCACCTCCTATGTGCAAATGTGGCCCCTTTTCCTTCACTGAAGGAGTGTGTTAGAGCCTGATAGTTCAGGGCAATCCTCACCAGCATCCTGCATTTTAAAGGATATAATAAGGTTGTAACTCTTCTGCCAGATGGTGTTGGCAGCATCAAGAGTTAGGTTCAATATTTAGGGGTTCCTCTTAAAAATACAACATAGAACCGGGTTGAGCCTCTACCCAGTAAACTGGAAAAACTAAACACCACCCCTTGAGGCCTTCTAGAGGTAGTATTTCCCACTCTCAAGCCCTCAGTCTGTGTCTTAGAGCCCAGGCTCCAGCCCGAGCCCAGAAGTCTACACAGCAATGAAACAGCCCTGCAGCCTGTAGTGTGGGGCCCAAAACTGGACACAGTACTCCAGATGAGGCCTCACCAATGCCGAATAGAGGGGAATGATCACGTCCCTCGATCTGCTGGCAATGCTCCTACTTATACAGCCCAAAATGCTGTTAACCTTCTTGGCAACAAGGGCACACAGTTGACTCATATCCAGCTTCTTGTCCTCTGTAACCCCTAGGTCCTTCTCTGCAGAACTGCTGCCTAGCCACTCGGTCCCTAGTGTGTAGCAGTGCATGGGATTCTTCTGTCCTAAGTGCAGGACTCTGCACTTGTCCTTGTTGAACCCCATCAGATTTCTTTTGGCCCAATCCTCTAATTTGTCTAGGTCCCACTGTATCCTATCCCTACCCTCCAGTGTATCTACCACTCCTCCCAGTTTAGTGTCATCTGCAGACTTGTGGAGGGTGCAATCCATCCCATCTTCCAGATCATTAATGAAGATATTGAACAAAATCAGCCCCAGGACCGACCCTTGGGGCACTCCGCTTAATACTGGCTGCCAACTAGACATGGAGCCGTTGAACCCGACAATCTAGCCAGTTTTCTATCCACCTTATAGTCCATTCATCCAGCCCATACTTCTTTAACTTGCTGACAAGAATACTGTGGGCGACCGTATCAAAAGCTTTGTTAAAGTCAAGGAATAACATGTACACTGCTTTCCCCTCATCCACAGAGCCAGTTATCTCATCATAGAAGGCAATTAGGTTAGTCAGGCATGACTTGCCCTTGGTGAATCCATGCTGACTGTTCCTGATCACTTTCCTCTCCTCTAAGTGCTTCAAAATTGATTCCTTGAGGACCTGCTCCATGATTTTTCCAGGGACTGAGGTGAGGCTGACTGGCCTGTAGTTCCCCGGATCCTCCTTCTTCCCTTTTTTAAAGATGGGCACTATATTAGCCTTTTTCCAGTCATCCAGGACCTCCCCCAATCG